TCAGTAAGCCGACCACTGTCTTACTGGCCCTTTGTCAGCAGCTAAATTGTGCAGTAAATAGTGTCACACAGCTGCTCTTGCTCTGTAGTCTAGGGTTTTTGCACCCTATGACTGCTGAAAGCCTCTGATCTCTCCTGCTGTTCCCGTTACAATTAGTGTCATTTCTGAACTAAAGCATAAAATATGCAAAACAAGCGAGGAGGAAATATGACAAGGTTTCATAATGATTACTGGATCTATTGTATCTGAAGCACTAAATGACAAGATTTTACTAACTTTAACAACTATTTCTCTCCCTCTCTCTGATGTCAAACTATTGTAACTTCTATAGAGCTGGTTCTAATTCACAAAAGGTGAAAAATGAGACTTAGGCTTGCATATAAAACCAGTGTAGTGACAATGTGTGATAGTGCGTATTTAATATGGATTTAATCAATAGACACATTGGCTGGAATATCCACATGAACACCAAACTGTTCAGAAAGATTCTTTAATTTCTCCTCCAAGATAATATTTTTTTTCACTTCTTCATTGTAGTTATATTTCAGATCCTCAATTTCTTCAAAAAAGGAAGGGTCAAAATTATCCAATTCTTTTTTCAGCTGTTTGATTTCTTCCTAATAGAAGAATTAAATAGTTACAACTTACTACAAATCAAAATTCTACATTCTCATTTTGTGTAAAGGTGCATATATAAAAGGACTAAATAACAACATTAATTGTATCAGAGGGGTAGCCATGTTAGTCTGCATCTGCAAAAACAACGGAGTCCTGGGCCACCTTAGAGATTTATTAGGGCTTTATTAAGCTTTCATGGGTAAAATCCACTTCATTTGATTACATGGGTTTTACCCATGAAAAGTTATACCCTAATAAATCTTTTAGGCCTGATCTATGCTACAGGGGAAGGTCGAAATAAGAGACACAACTCCAGCTACATAAATTATGTGGCTGGAGTTGACGTATCTTACAGCATGCTCCTATTGGCTTCCCTGACTCCTTGTGAGGGGCAGGAGTAGCAGTGCCGATGGGGGCACCCTCTGAGTTCAATCTGGCTAAACTGAGCCCCTGAAAATTGACTGCAACAGCATGTCCATAACTCTCTAAGGTGCCCAGGACTCTGTTGGTTTAACATTGTATTATGGCTTTTTCCATTACAAACAGATTTTTTAAAACTAGCTTTGCTTTATGCACTGTAAAATGTAAAGGTGCAGTTTATCATTTATATACACTAGTACTTACTGCACCTGCAAGTTAGGTGCTTTGATATTTGAAATACTGCACCTCCATGGTGCAAAAAAGGAGGCAGAGTTGAAGGTTTGGTACCATTTGTCAAAAGAGAGCTTTGAAATTTTACAGTGAGACCGGAATGCTTTGTTAAATTAATCACATAGTCAGTACAGAATAATGATTACCGTACATAAGAAAGAAGTCTCGAGGAAACACAGGATTTGTGTTTCTAAATGTAGTGTTCTGTTGACCCTAGCTTTAGGGACCTGAGGCTCAAGGTCCCAATACATTATGCTCTGAATCTACCATTGACCCTAGCTTTAGGGACCTGAGGCTCAAGGTCCCAATACATTCTGTTCTGGATATACCGTTAATAGCTGAATAAGAGCAGAACTTCCTTTTCTTCCTTATTATATCATCTTCTCAATTGCACCATCAGTAAGTTGTGAACCAAACATGTAGATATAAGAACGTTCTGATTGCAGTTTGAGTCATTTTGTAAAAGTGGAAAGGGCCAAGGAGTGGCTGTTATTGGCCACTGTAACATTCAGTGGTGGGGCAGGGACACAAGCTGGCATTGTGGTCCAGTGTTTTTAATAATGCCAGTTTTCATGTGTCAAGCACTATCAGCATAAATCCATAGAGTAGGGATACACTGTAAACTTGTTTTTGAAGACTTTGTACTTTAAAAGTCATACATCTGGCCATTGTAAAAGACTTCAACTAAATGGGTGGATGCAATCTTCTTTCCTAGCTATTCATTAGTTCATAAGATAAGTGAACAATATCACAGTGGTATTATCCATACAATACTCACCTTAAGTTGTTGCTTTTCCAGATCTGATGCTTGCAATTGCGTCTGGAGATCTTCTACGTCTACCATTAACTTGTGTGGTCTGCCTTTCTCTAAAAATATCACCATTTGTTATGAAACGGTCAAGTTAGGTTACTAAATTCAAGATACTGAAAGTCAATTAAAATGTGTAACCTAGCAGTATATACTGGAGAACATTAAATCCAGTTACCCAGTCTTGCAAAAAGTCATCCCCAACACCATTCTGGTGGCTTGATCTATTTCTGTACAGCAAGCTATCAATTACAAATATTAAGTGGCTAGTCTATGTTGTGAAGTAAACCTTTTGATTGACTGATTGCATAGTCAGACTGAAACAGTAGCTCAGAGGTTTAATATGTAAAAATTAGATATTAACGTTGGCTTCTGGTGATAAGTTTAAAGACTAACATTGCTAATTTCACTGAGAAAATGAATGTTTCTATTGAAACTTTTTTTTTTTTAATCCAGTGTGGCTGGCAATGCTAGACTGTTAAACACAGAAGAAAGCAATTGTGTCATTTACTTTATTGCATTTTCCAATCTAACTTTAAATGATTCAATCAACAGTGCTCTACTCACTGCTCTTGGGAGGCTACTCCAAAACTGAATAGATTTTACCATTATGGAGTTTATGCCTAATTGTCTTAAACTAAACTTAATTCACCTATTTTATACCTCAGGGATTAAAAAAAACTTACAAGTGGTCCTGGAGCACCTATCAGATTCACCTATTTTATACCTCAGGGATTAAAAAAAACTTGTGGTCCTGGAGCACCTTACAGACTAACTATATACAGTAAAACTCCAGTTGTCCGGCATCCAGAGGTCTGGCACTTCTGCTAGTCCAGCACCACCTGGAACCCTGGATAATTGGAGTTGCTCTGCCCTGGGCTTCCCCGAGTCAGCCACTGGTCAGTTTCAGCTTGGGGACGCCCGGGGCAGAGCAGCTGGGGTGCTGCCGGGTGGGTCCCGCAGCGCCGCCGTCCCATCGCT